CTATAACAATAATAAAAAAAAAAAAAAAAAAAAAAATAAATAAATAAATAAATAAATAAAAACAAGGCAAGAGAAAAAAAAAAACATCAATCAACTTATTTTTTTATTTTCCCATATGAAATTAAAAAGATATTTTGACTTCATTGATGACTTTCTTAGGTACATGCAGTATGCTAACAGTTGTAGGCCTACATAATTTTTTAGAGTGATAAAGCTTTTACAATTGGAATTCTTTTAAAAAAATAAATAAATGTCTTTCCTCCCAAAATTTCAGTATGCTAGCAATTTATAATTAAATTTAAAAAATTGTAACAAGTATAATTATTTTGTAGTCATTTTGATTTTAATAGGTATTGAAAATAGTTTAGGCTCATGTTTATTAATTATCTTTAATTACGCGTAATAGATAGCGACGAATGATAATCATTGCTTTCTAAATACTGTATTATGAATGACAATTGGGCGAGGACCGCCTCAGAGCTTATTTTGTGCCGTACGTAATTACATAGATTGTAGGTTGCCTCTACAGTATGCCGTACATAAAGCAATAGCCGTTTTTTGATTGACATTAATGTAAACAAAGATTGGACTGCCTCACCGGTAGGAATCAAAAGAAATCCCCATTAAAATATTATTTCACATGCGTTGCGCCTTTGATCTTGTTTGGAATTGGCGCCATATAAATTCGAGATATTATTATTATTATTATTATTATTATTATTATTATTATTATTATTATTATTATTATTATTATTATTATTATTATGAGGACACCTTCGGTAATGAAAAAAATATCCCCTTAATCCCATGGGGTGTCCCATGAATAGGGTTGGCCGTAATGTTAAAAGATACATTTCCTTCACTTCACGGCCAAAAGAAATAATTTGTTTTCTAATGAAAATAAGTATTCGTACTTCAGTGGGTTCCTTGGTGGTCACATCAAATAAGATCCAAGTTTTGACCAAGTGGTAGTACGGTAAATGAAAATCGTGTGTCACAAACGTTACATCCATTGGCGTTTTATTTGGCTGCGGGTGTTTTGAAGGAACAAGACGGCCCCAATCACCATGTGAATATTTATTTTCTGCATTAATTAAAAACTTGCATATAATAGTTGGCTGTCTTTATGACACATACAATACTCCAAAGATTGAAGTTGCTAACATATATTTTATTCCTTCTTTTAAGATCATTATTGGGGGTTAGCGCGAACGCAGTCCCCCGCTACCATAAATTATACACCCGAGTTCCCCTACCATAAATTTTACACCCGAGTTCCCCACATTTGGGGGAATCGCAAGGGTCAACCACAGCTAAGTGCAATGCCGTGGCCTCGCCTTGGGAGGACTTCCTTCTTGATCAAAGTCTCTCCTGTGCCAGGTAAGTATGCTCCATCAACGAAAAGTTGAGAATATGTATGAATAATTTAAAAGCTACATATAAATGTCATTAATAATATTTCTTATGAAACTATTTATTTAGACAATATAAGTATTTATATACACACATTATTTATAAAATATAAGTTATTTACTATCGAATGGCATTTTGTAAATATAATAACACATTTTGTAAATAATAAAACGACTCGTTTTAATTCATGAATATTCATTATCTTTAATTCGTTATCCGCGAAAATTGAGGGCAGCAGACAGATAATGATCACAATCACTCCACTTGGAAGCTAAAAAGAAATGGAGGACCATAGAGATATAATATGTGAAGGACACTGTTTTACGCATTCGTCATTTATAAAAGATTAATTATTCTAAAGAGTAGGGCTCAATTATTATATACCCATAAAAAACGTGACCGGACGTTTCACTGACAGACACTTGGCCGACAGACTATCGGGCGATGATCCTCGACGAAAAAAAGTGGGGTGGTGGGTCGCTCAAAATTTGCCGAGGTGTTCCATGGGTTTCAAAGGCTTATTTAATCGATTTTTGAGCCTACTAATATGTTGAAAATATTCATAAATTTTTTTTCTCCCCCGACGAATAGTGGGGCAGCTCTCCTCGACGTGGGTGTGAAGGGGAGAGGGGCGGCGCTCGGCGACAGACAATATGCCGACAGACAATTCGCGGATATTTTATGTGAACATGTTAACGAATGGATGTGTCACAAGTTAGTCAGTGGCGTATCTAGGAGCCTTCAAATGAGGTGGTGACGAAGGGGTAGTGGTGGTTGTGAAGCTCGCAAAATAAGGTTGCATGTGTTGATATTTATCTACTTGAGCGAGATTTTTGTTTGTTTCCAACATTTTAATGAGGTGTTGGTGGGCTGTCTCTTATACACATCTAGATGTGTATAAGAGACAGCAGAGTTTAGCCAAAATCATCTGTATTCTATTCTTCCATGAAAAT